TTCTAAAAATTTTATCACTAGCTTTTTTTTTCAATAATACCACAACTTTTATATAAAAGCTATTCAACAAAATAAATTAGAAATAAATTTAAAATATTATATTTGGGTTCTCTATTTCCAATTTAGGGTATATATTTCTACCATTTAAAAGAGATTTTGATTCATTTTAATATTAGTTTATGGTATTATATTTGGGTTCCCTATTTCCAATTTAGGGTATATATTTTCACCATTTAAAAGAGATTTTTATTTTAATATTAGTTTGTGGTATTATATTTGAGTTCCCTATTTCCAAATTAGGGTATATATTTCCACTATTTAAAACAATTTTGATTCAATTTAATATTAGATTAGTGTTTGCTCTCTTTTTTATTTTCTATCTTATATTTTCATTAAGTTTAATTGAAGTTTATGGTGCTATTTGTGGAACTTTTCAAATGAGGTGCTATTTTTGGAAAAAACAACTTTTTTGGGGCTATTTGTGTCAATCTCCCCATTTAACTTTCACAAAACTTTCATAAAATTTTGTTCTTATTTAACTTAAACATTTATTAAGAAGAAAAAAAACATTACATCATATAAAAGTAATAAGACATATACAAAAAAACTAAAATAATTATTATGGAATGAAAAAAATATATATATGATTTATATATTTATAAGACTTTATGTAATTTCTCTTTTGCAAATAGTAGTCTCAAATTTTAGAATAGATATTTAAATCAAAACCTCTAAAATCAATCCAAAATATGAGTTTTATTTATTTTAATCAAAAATGTTAGATTTAATTATTTTAATCAAATTAAAAAAAGTTAGAAGTTAAAGGACTATTTTTCAAATAAAAAAGTTTAACTTTATTATAGAGGAAGAAATAGTGTTCCTCTATATATCGAGCAAAAAATAGAATTCTCTATTTTACATGTGAAAATAGAAATGGGTTGGAGTAGATTTGCCTTTTAAATAGAATTTAGAGGCAAATATAGAGGTGAGTTGGAGATGCTTTTAGAGGAAAAAGGCCTATTCCTCCCCAATCTAAGTTGCTTTGGCTAATTCATCCCTGAAACTTTGTCTCGTGCCTAAACCCACATGAACTAATATAGAGTTTGAATTTTCTACCTGAACAAATTCGAACTAAACCCACAAATTGTTAAACGCCGTTATTGTTCCGTTAACGAACATCTGACTAGGATGCCACATCATCGATCTAAGCGACTGCGTTTTGAGAGAAAACGGCCTATTCCCCCATAAACTTAGTTGTTTTGGCTAATTCATCCCTATAATTTTATCTCATGCCTAAACCCACATGAACTAACATAAAGTTTGAATTTTCTACATGCACAAAACAAATCTGGACTAAATTAATTCTAGGATTTTGATGAATTTTTAGATGTGTACTTGGATTATGATGTAATTTTTGATTAATTTTCAGAATATGATGTAAATTTTGAATTAATTCTCGGATTATAATATCATTTTGGAATAATATGATGCTCTATTTCAGATTATATTGTTTGCTTGAACAGGTTTAGTTGGAGCTGGATTCAGCACCTCTGAATCCACCAACAAAAATAACAAGTGGGAGATACGTTAGGCTCATAAGCCCATAGTGAAGAGAAGCGGAGCTGGCTCCGAATCAGGACTAAGTCAGGCGAGGATCTCGGCAGGGACCTGTGATGTAGGAGAGGTTAATGCGGACCTCGGACCGAATAACCTAGGAAGAGTATCTATATAAAGACGAGAGAAGACCTAGAGAAGGCATCGCCTACTTACTGAAAAAAACTCACTACTACTTTACGCACTTGTATTCACAAGATCTAGTCAGCTGGTCATTAACGGAACAGTAACATCGTTTAACGATTTGTGGGTTTAGTCTGGATTTGTTTTGTTCATGTAGAAAATTCAAATTTTATGTTAGTTCATGTGGTTTTAGGCACAGTACAAAATTTTGGGGATGAATTAGCCAAAAGAACTTAGTTTGTGTGAGAATAGGCCGTTTTTCCCTCAAAACGCAGTCGTTTAAATCGATGATGTGGCATCCTAGTCAGCTGGTCGTTAACGGAATAATAACAGTGTTTACAGAGTTGTGGGTTTAGTCCGAATTTGTTTTGTTCATGTAGGAAATTCAAATGTTATATTAGTTCATGTGGGTTTAGGCACACGACAAAGTTTCAGAGATGAATTAGGCAAAGCAACTTAGTTTGTGGAGGAATAGGCCGTTTTCCCTGCTTTTAGACAACTATTTTTACTTGATTTCTATAATATCACACAATAAACTTGGAAAAGGGGATCACAAATAGAGAATTAGAGAACTAATTTACATAAAATAAATTTATAAAATCAAAATTTTCTCGGATACTCACCACCACCATCCAAGCTTTCAAAACCCTCAATGGCGCCAGACCATGCTTGAAAAGTTTGATGTCTTACTCCACAATCAAACATGGAGTCTAGTGCCTCTATCGCATGCTTATAACAATGTGGAGAGTTTTTAAGTGATAATTTTAATACATTTTATAGGTCTTTTATATTATCGAGCCTTTTTGTTGAGAACATTTAGTTTTTAATGTTTTCATGTTTATGCACCTGTTTGTATAAAAATAGCTAATTTAGGAGGAAAAATTGAGCAAAAAGGTGTCAAAAGAAAAGAAGGCCAAGATCAAGAACTGATTGGTTAAATAGTTTAACCGATTGGTACAAAAGTCTCGAAGAACCGATCAGTATAGCCATTTAACTGATCATTTACATTTTTGTAAAGTTTTCATTATTCTTGTTTTAGGTCGGCTACACAATGTATATAAATACCTTGCATAAAAAAAGAAAGAAGAGAGCCACCTGATTATGGGACTATGAAAATGCTAGACTTCCATTAGGGTTTGATGTTTCACAACTCCAAACAATGATTCTGAGATTGTTGCGTGAAAATGGGTTTCTTGGAGATTTTTCTTTTGAAATTGTGGTGTCAGATTCCCTAGATAAACGAAAGATCAATTATTATACCATGAATGGCTCCTGACCATGCTTGAAAAGTTTGATGTCTTAGTCCACAATCAAACATGCTCAAAGCATTGTGGAAAGTTTTTAAGTGATATTTTTAACACATTTTATAGGTCTTTTTAATGTATATTATCAAGTCTTTTTGTCGAGAATATATAGTTTTTAATGTGTTTTAGTGTTTTCATGTTTCTGCACCTGTTTGTATCAAAATAGCTAATTTAAGAGCAAAAATGGAGCAAAAACGTGTCAAAAGAAGAGAATGCCCAAGATCAAGAACTGATCGGTTAAGTAGTTGAACCAATTGGTACAAAAGTCTCGAAAAACCAATCGATTAAGCCATTTAACTGATCATTTATGTTTTTGTAAAGTTTCTATTTTTCTTGTTTTAGGTCGACTACATAATGTATATAAATACCTTGCATCATGTAGCCACAAAAATATATTTTTTATGAATTTATTGTTTTTAAGGTGTTCTTCTCTTTTTTCTTTGTTTATTTGCTAAAAGATTATCAAAACCCTTTGATAATCCTTTTCTAAGCTCTTGATCCTTCTTCTACAATGATCACTTATACTTAGGTCATGTGTGAGTAGTCTTATCAAATAATTTTAGGTATTTCAAAGGAGATGTTTTATACAAAAACTCGATAGGTATTTCTCTTTCATATATGATATTGATGTTTGTTCTCTATCTCAATTGTTCTTAATGGTTAGTTAAATTAGGCCGATTTAACTAATGCGATCGACTTCATCGAGCCACCAAAAGTGATGTTAAATCGATTGATCTTTTATTGATAAGCAAAGTTTCCTTAGTCAACCAAACCATAAGTTAAAGTTATGAGGCTTTGTGAGTTTATTTAATGCTTGTTAGAATTGATTGAAACAAAGATTAGCCCTCAAAAAAGAAGCACTTTTTGTGAGTTAGGTTCCCGGAGTGGCTTATCCGTAGATCTCATAAGGTTGTAAGCAAAACTGACTAAGGGACCAACAATGTAACCCAAATTCCTTTATATCGTTCCATCACTATTGCTGGTCCAAGACTTCTCTGGATTCATCGATGATATCATCGACATTGAAAAGTGATTGGTGTTTGCCATTGTATACTTTGATCTACATAATGAAATTATCATCGGAATTATAAAATTATCGCAAACTGTTGAGTATTTATGGTACTTACTGTACAATTAATAAGAAATATAGTTTACAACGTTGCGAGAGTTTTGCTTTTTCTTTTACCATGCATACGAGTTTTCTTTTATTCGTTATCCTTATCATATATAGAGGTACCTTATAACAACTATTCATATTAATTATTTCGTTTTAGATGGATTATACTTCAGAATTATGATTGTTTTCTTTACTGTTTTTCCGAATTTTTATTATTATTTTTGAAACATTTCCTTTATTCATCTCCTTTTATAATTAGATTTAGGGGAACTTGTGATGTACTTACTATTAAGCCTCGTTATTCTTATTAATTTTTGTCCTCTTTTAGATAGGTTGAGAATTAATTGTGATTTTTAAGAAAACATAAGATTAGAAAAATATTAAAATACAAAATATAACATCTTTGATGCAAAAAAACAATATTCACCAAAAGATTATTGTTTAACTATGCAACTATTAACGACAAATTTCATAGTTAAACAATAGTCTCTTTGATGCAATCGCTGATGCAAGAAAACAATATGCGGTGGACGGATGTTGGAGGACGAGGGAAAAGAGGACGAGGTCGCGGTGGTCTTGGATGCCGTGGTTAGTTCTTAAGCAACTAACCGTATCATCTCCAACCCCTTATACGCGTTAGCTAAAGTTTGGCTCACAATTTAAACTTGTTTCCACAAACTGTAAGATCTTAATTATAAGGGGTAATAGCCTTGTACTGTTTATTTCTTTAATGTTCATGCACCAAATTAACAAAACAAAAAAACCTTGTTAACGACAAATTTAACTATGATACTTCAGGGAAAAAAAACAAAAAAAACTTCAACTACGACAATATTAAGCAAGATTAAACTGATCTTTCATTTGGTGGAGTAGAGAGGAAGTTGATCATTATCCATAACCATTACATATTCAAGAACGTATATATCTCTTTATAGTCTTCTTCATCTTCTTCAAAGTCGTTGTCCAATTCGATTGGTAGAGATTTTTCTCCGAGACAAACATGAGGAGCATTCATGCGAGCAGGAACGAGTTCTGGTTTTTGTTGATACTTGATCATGTTCATGAGAACCGATTCTAACCAGCCCATGACATCTTTTTGACCCTCCATGACATCAACTTTTTCATTCTTCTCCAGTGCATCTACTTGATGAATCTTGCTTTCTTCCACACACTCCTATATGTTTCCCTCTCTCTCTCTAGAAGAGAACAAGTTAGACTCATTGATCCTATGTGTGACGTGATGTTTTTCAGATTTAATTAAACTAAAATTAAGTTAATTAAAGAATTAAGGATGGATACAAATAATCAAGAGGAGAAAAAAAGAAGTAAAAATAAGATCAAACAAAGATTAGCCCTCAGATTTAGAAGCACTGTTTTTTTGGGCTACGCTACGAAGAAAAGAAGCACTTTTTGTAAGTTCCCGGAGTGGCTTATCCGTAAATCTCATGAAGTTGTACACAAAACCTCCGGCGAAAATTCCGACAAAGGGACCAACAATGTAAACCCAAATTCCTTTATATCTTCCCATCACTATTGCTGGTCCAAGACTTCTTGCTGGATTCATTGATGCTCCCGATATAGGTCTAATAATAATCAAAACCCAAATTAATATTTTCACTTGTATATGAAATATGTTGGTAGTAAATTGTTAAAAAGAATTTGCTAAGTGGTAAATTTTTTTTACCCGGCTACAAAGACGTTCAAAATTATAGTCATCCCCACCGCAATTCCAGCTAATTCTCCGGTCTGTCAAAAATAAAATAAAAATAAGAACACTTCCACAACATAAGAACTTCCAAGAAAAATAAAAGTTGAGATATTGAAAACACTAACCGCACGACTATCGGTGGCAACGCCGGAGATAACAAACATTAGGAGAAATGAGATAATGATCTCTGCAACGAGTGCTTGTCCCGATGAATCAGTCGGAGTTGTTCCAAAGAAAGCTTTGGGTGTCACATTGAACATTAGTCTCAATGTCAAACTCGCTAGTAACGATCCCGTAAGTTGTGCACCTATATACAATGGTACCTGCCCAAAACATTATACAATTATATTCGTTATTCAAATATCCAATCTGAATACTATAAATTAGATTTCGATTTTGAACGGGAAACAAAAACCGCCCGTCTAGCCATGAATTCAATCGTGCATTGCTCGTAAAATATTTATGGAAAATACTGTGTCAAATGTATCACAATATTTTTACAAAATTGTATTGTTGCAAATCTATCCCAAATTCGCTATGAGATTATATATCTACTGTTTGCTTACGCTCGCATTTTGTAGCAAATGTCTATCTACTAAATACCGATTTATGACCATTTTGTTATTGAATTTTACTATAGCTACATAAATTATATCAATCTCTTGCACATTCTTGTAATATAAAGAAATTAGGTTTACTGAGATTGCAACTAGTATAGGGCTAAAAAAATCAGCCTATCCATATTTTAAAAATTAAAAGTGTTTTTTTTCTTCTTCTAATTTCCTATTTTTCGCACTTAGATGTAAACGCGGAATTTAACGTCTGAAACAATTTAGATCTTAGTGATAGAGGCTATAGAGAAGTGAAATTTACCTGAAACCAAGGAAACCGCCGGAAAACAGCGAAAGTGACAGTGACGGCCGGGTTAAAATGTGCACCGGAAATGTGACCGGTAGAGTAAATCATGACCATAACAATGAGACCCCAAGTCACACATATCCCTGGAAACGTTATCGTTCCTCCATACAAGACATTCACTACCACCACTCCACATCCAGAGAATATTATAAAATACGTCCCAATCATCTCTGCTATCAACTGTAATCAATTTTATATTAAAAAAAACATTAACAAATATGTTACAAAATATTTATAATCATTGTTAACTATGCAATCAAACAAATAGTATTTTGTGTGTGTCACCTTTTGTGTAAGGCAAACAATGCTAGGAGAAGTACATATGGCCGTCTCGATTCCTCTTTGGCTATCTTTGCCATTGCCTTTCTCAATTCTTGATATTTGTTCGTCTTCGATCTCTTCACAATGCGAAGTCATTTTTCGTTTATAAAGTTAATTTATAAAAGAAAAATGTGGAGAGGAGAGTTTTTTATTTGGAGAAAACAAAAAGAAAAATGAAACTTTTAGTGGTTTGATAACTTGGAGATTAAAGAGTTTTTATACATGGGAAACAGAAATTAGTTGTAACAATCACAGAAGAATGATTGGTTTATATCTACTGAGTAGAGGAAAAATTAATAGAGCTGTAGTTAGATGTAATATATGAAAAATAGGATTAGGCTTTGATGTTATATGTTAGAAATGGGTAAAACAGCGCCTACGATTTGTAGCAGGTAAAGGAGTCAAATATGTTCGTTGTTTTTCTATAATTACTAAGTTGATAGCCTAATTTTGGCCGAACCAAATTAGTACTAACTACTAAGGGTTTGACTACTAGTTACTATCTGTTTGGTTTCAAACCGAAACAACCAAACTTAAACCGATTCAATCCGAGCAAAATTCATGTACTAATTTTTGTTCGGTTTCAAACAAATATACTTATTTTAAGTTTTTAACAATTAATTAATTAAATAGAAAAATTACTAGTCAATAATTTATTATTATTTGATTAAATAATTTCTAAAGTTTTGAGGCTTTCCATGCATGATTCCTTTTTCTTTTACTTATTTTGTTTGAATAACTGAGTTAACCTTTCCTAATTTACAACTACCATTGTTTGATATCATATTTTCTATCAAACGAAAACCAAGCCAAAGTAAATTAGACCGAAAGAAACTAAAATTTTAGCTAAAATTCGGTTTGAGGTTAGCTAAAATTTTGTTAAAACCAAAATTTTCAAAGCGAATCAAACCCTAACCAAAACCAAAAGGCCCTTAACAAAAATGTCGCAGTGGTAAAATCATAAATAAATGGGTTATTTATTCATTTGGAAGATCATACTGAATTTATGTGAATCAGAGTATAGGAGGAAAAGATGTGTCTCGAATCATCGTTGGTCCACCTCCCTCGTAGAGAATTGGTGTGTTTGAAAGACTATCATCCTTCTATCCTGATGGCAGGGTATTTATAGTGTAATCGTACTTAATCCTTTATGAAGACCGAGTTGAATATTAGTGGTCGGATCTTTCTAGTCGCATGCGATAGGATGTTAAGTGTCGCCCAAATATGATGTGACAAAACACCTTTGTGCAATTTAGTTTACTTTTGGTTTGACGAATTTTTGGTTGGAAGAGCATGTTATGCATGTTTGTAATGTCCATACCGCATATTAATCTTTCTAAGGGGCCTAAAACTTTTTCATCTTACTCGTGAAGTATTTATGATCAAGCTTATCCACATTTTGCTGTGAGTCTAGTGAATTCAACATGAACATGGTGTGTCATTGTATTTTCAATTAATAATTTTTTTTGGATAATCCAGAACTCAAATCAAGAGTTGGAGGTGATGTCTTTCTAGTTTATACTAAAAGTTAATAAAAGAATTAAGAATGCATACAAAATAAATATTCAAGAGGAACTAGTAACACAATAAGAAAAAATTAAGAGAAGAAAGATTAGGTCTTAGAACTAGAAGCTTTGTGGCTTGGAGAAACGGCACGGAGAAAAGAAGCGCTCTTAGTGAGTTCTCGGAGTGGCTTATCCGTAAATCTGATAAGGTTGTAAACAAAACCTCCGGATATAACTCCTAAAACGGGGCCAAGAATGTAAACCCATATGTGTGTATATATTCCCATCACTAATGCTGGTCCTAGACTTCTTGCTGGATTCATTGATGCTCCCGAAATTGGTCTGTCAAATGTTTTACATATTAACAAAGGGTTTTAAATCAGAAAAAAGGAACCTGAAACCAAATAAGATAATCAATCCAAAAAATTGAACAATGTTATAGTATCAATATCTATTAAAGTATTATATATGATTCCTTTTTCTGGATTATTTGTTCTCGAATCGAATAGAAAAAAATCGGATTTAAAACCTATTTTATGAAAATAAAGATACATATTTGATTAAAATTTGAATTCAAACAGAAACCAAACCCTAAATATACTTTTAACATAAAAAGAGTATCTTTACCCGGCCACAAAGACGTTCAACATTATAGTCATCCCCACCGCAATTCCAGCTAATTCTCCGACCTGTTGAGAACAAAGAACAGTTTAACAAAATAAGAAATTTCGTTCGCATATTTGATTTTTTCTTATGAAAATGATTATTTTTAATGGAAATATATATTGTAAAGTTAGAATATGCACTAGCGAATTCAAGGGAAACAAATTGTTCTTATAAGAAGAACTCAACTTTCCATCATAGATAAGTTCTTATTACTAACTCCCAAACTGATGAAATCACCCACATATAATTTACAAATCATATATTTTGTAAAATTTTGGAATGATGTTTATACATTTTTCCATTCACCAAGATTAATGACAATTTTCTAAAGGAATTTCATCATTCTGCAAGTTATATATAGCAAAAACAAAATTTTCTTGGCTTAGTAGTTTCCTCTTTTTTCATAAGTATTATTTATAGCACCATCCTAAAATATTCAAATATAAACATAATTTTTTTGAATATAAATATAAATATTCAAGTTGGATTTTTTTTTAAATAGATAATCTCATATGTAATTTTTGTATCCATTTCAGTTATAATGATCTACCAATATGAATAAATTACTTACCGCTCGATTATCGGTGGCAACGCCAGAGATAACGAACATTAGGAGGAATGAGATAATGATCTCTGCGACGAGCGCTCGTGCCGGCGAATCAGCTGGAATTGTTCCAAAGAAAGCTTCGGGTGTCACTTTAAACATAAGTCTCAATGTCAAACTCGCAAGTAACGATCCTGCAAATTGTGCACCTATATACAATGGTACCTGCTCAAAGCATTATACAATTATATTCATTATTCAAATATCAAATCTAGTCAATATAATTTAGGTTTCAATTGTTTTTTATTTTTAATATGTTTGCTAAAAGAACTCATAATTTGCTATTTGTGCGATAGTATATACAATTTGCTTACCCTCGCAATGTTTTTTAGCAAATGACGATCTCTACATATTGATTTGCTACCATTTTGATATTTGTTTTCGGAATAGCTAACAAAAACTTCAGCCTTTTAATATTGTATAAGAGTAGAAAATTGTTCTTTTTTTTTTCTAATTCTTTTTCTTCATGTTAAACATATTTTTTTTTAAAACAATCTAGATCTGATTCCATCAAAGTAAAAAGAATAGATGACCTGATACCAAGGGAACCGCCGGAAAATGGCGAAAGTAACGGTAACGGCAGGGTTAAAATGTGCACCGGATATATGACCGGTGGAGTAAATCATGACCATAACAATGAGACCCCAAGTCACACAAATACCCGGAAAAGTTATTGTTCCTCCGTACAACACATTTACTACCACCACTCCACATCCAGAGAATACTATGAAATAGGTCCCAATCATCTCTGCTATCAACTGTAATCAAAATATTAAATGAAAATCCATTAACCAATTTGTGAAAAATATTTATTAACATTATACATATGCATTAATATTAATAAAATTTAGTTTTTAAACCTTTTGGGTAAGGCAGACAATGCTGGGAGAAGTACATATGACCGTCTCGATTCCTCCATGGCAATCTTTGCCTTTCTCAATTCTTGATATTTGTTCTTCCTCGATTTCATCACTATGCAAAGACATTTTTTGGATTTTTTTTTGAAACAACTTTTTTTGTTTTTGTTTTTTTTTAAGTTATGGAGAGATTTTTATTTGAGAAAAAAAAAAACCCAAAATTTTAGTGGTTAGAAAATTTGGAGACTAAAGAGTTTTTTATTTATTTATGAGAAATATACATTGGATTAAATCTAATGATTTGGAATAGTAGACTTGTGATTGGATGTAACAGATGAAAAGTAGGATCAGAAGTTATGTGGAGATGGTTAAAAGATGCTTTTTTTTTTTGGTCAAAGGTTAAAAGATGCTAAAATGGCTAATTAAGGAGTCTAGTTGGAGTTGCAAGTTTGTAGGAGTTATTATTTTCCTTCACTACGTAGTCGTAGACTTGTTAAAATCAGATTGTATAACAAAATTAGAAAGTTTGACAAAAGCTAAAAAAAAGTAGAAAAAAAAAAAACAAAACCACTTTTGTAGGGGTGATCCAGTTAATTATATGTGTTTTGATGAGAATGTTAGAGGCTTTGTTTCATTATTGGGCTAGTATTCAGTATTGATCTGAATTGTTTTCAAGATTCTTGTTACATATACATCAAGAATTCAAGATACAATCGTTCTTTTACATATACAGTTTTAAATCTTATAGATGCTTCCAACTTCATTCAAAGTTCATATCACATAGTTGTAAACAGAAACCCTCTTTCATGGTTTCAATTTTTTCTTTTCCTTTTTGTAGATTAACCATAAAATAATAAAACAAAAAATAACATAAATTCTATACTAGCAAATAGAATGCTATAAAGTCACTTCAGCTATTTATGTAGAATTATTTAATCCTATACTAATATTTGGGAAGTACATCCTAAGGATCATAACTTGATTTTGTAAGAAATTACAATATATGCCATTAGAGAATTCTAATCATAAAATTTTATTCCATGTCACTAATATATATTAACGGGTCAACGGGTCAACGGGTTTAAAGATATTAAAAGATTTTGTTTATATAATTCATATATTTTTCGATAATAACTATATTACACAATTAATATAATTCGAAATTGTTATATACTAATCAATTCGAAAATGTAACACAATTAGTAAAAATGTTGTATACTAATATATAATTCGAAAATGTGACACAAAAATGTTATTGAAAATATTAATGAAAATGATATATCATTGAAAACATTTTATATCAATTGACTTTATAAAAAATGCTATTTTGAATTATAATACTCATATAGTTCGAAAATGTTATTGAAAATGTTATATACTAATCCATTATTTGAAAATGAAAATGTTATCCTATACTATTATTTGGGAAGTACATCATATAAGTCGTAACGTTGATTTTATAAGAAATTACAATATATGCCATTAGAGATCTCTAATCATAATCATTTTAATTCTATGTCACTAATATTCATCAATTCATTAAAAACGGGTCAAT